TTTAATCTGATCTGTTATTTGGTTAATCTGATAACAAAATGGGGAGCAGGGCAAAGAGAAAAACTCACATTTATCAGTAATACCAGCTACAATCACCAATATGAGATGAACAGGCAAAAAAATACTCACTTTTTGGAGAATTCTGCCAGCAGGCTTAAAAGCTATTTGGATAACAACACAAGCAGAGAGGAAATAAAGAACTAGAAAAAAGAATATTGCAAGGCTTCAACATGCTATATAACCACCAAATGAAAATACACAAGTCCCTTGACCAGTCTGCACCAGTACTTAGCTGAATGCAATTTTAAATTCCAGATACAGGAAATTAAAATATATAAGTTATTCATTCTTCCATCAATTCACTTATAGGTGATGAAAACAGTCTAGCTCTGATTTTGGAAAGCATCTGATTCACAGTGTTTGAATTAGCAGATGTGTGGGCAATTGTGTTTGGTAAAAAACAAGGGAGTTGTGTTCTGTGGAGAAGCAGGCTGTATTTTGCTTTAGTTGGAAACCTTTCAGCAAATATTCAGGACATAGCAAATAGAGGGGAGAAAGCACATTTATACACTCTAAAAGTAGCATGACAAAGGTACTGATCATGTGAGCATCTCCAAACACTGAAGTGAGGAGCCCCAGGGACTGAAAACCAACAAGACATTAGACAATGGCCTGTAGTAAGTGAGCCAGCTTAAGGATTTGTGTTGGCTTGGTAGCTTGTCTCAACAAGGTTTTGTTCTGTGCTTGCTTCATTGCAAGGTGTAGGAAGCAAAAAAAAACAACCAACAAGCAAGAGCATACCAAGAGGCCTGAAAGGATGAACAAGGAGATCCTGACAAAAGGAAGCAGGAAGAGGGTGGAGCAGGGGTGGATAACATGGAAGGAACAGAGACACTGCCTGAGCATGCAGAAACACAGTTAAAAAATACCAAAATCCACCTGGATTTTGATCCATTCAAGGTTTTGATGGGGTGCACCAATGAGTGCTGAGGGAGCTGGCAGACATCATTGCAAGGCCACTCTGGATAATCCTTGATGGATGATGGCAATTGTGAGCAGTGCCAGAGAGGTAGAGGAGAACAAACATCGCCCCTATCTTCAAGAAGAGAAAAAAAGGATCCATGTTGGACACAAGTCAGCATTGTATACTTGTGGCAGAGAAGGTTAAAGGCATCCTGAGCTGCACTAGGCAAAATATTGCCTGCAGCTGAGAGAGGTGATCCCTTCCCTCTCCTCAGCATTAATGAGGGGAATTTCTGGAGTTCTGGGCTCCCCCATACAATAAATATATCAATCTAAAGGGTAGAGAGTGAAGGGCCACAAGGATGCTGAAGAGACTGTGAGGAAAGGCTGAGAGAGCTGGGGCTGTCCTGCCTGGGGCAGAGGAGGCTCAGGTGGGATTCCATCTGAGTATGGAAATGCCTCCAGGGAGGGTGCAAAGAGGACAGAGCCCGGCTCTCTTCAGAGGAAATGGGCCCACACAGAAGGCTCTGTCTGAAGATCAAGTAGGTGACCTGGCTTGAGCAGGGGAGCAGAAGCAGATCACTTACAAAGGTCTCTTCCAAGTTCAACCACTCTGTGGAAAAATTATGGCTGGGTTTTGAAAGCTTACAGCCATAACAGCAATCTCCTTCAGGTCACTCAACCCATGCTAAGTTTAATAGGAAAATGTTGGAAGAACAGGAAGGCTAGGAAGAGAAAAATATTTCTTTCAGTCTTTTCTTTCTGTCAAGATAAACAATTATAAGCCAGCATTGCACTGCTGCCAAGTCTTAATTTTTCTTCCAAGTTTGACTATGCTCAGTGAAACACTCAGCAATCACAGCACCTCTCTTCTATCACATGAGCCATTGATGAGCCTGGAAAAAAAAATCATCCCCAACAAAAATCAACTCCAAACCAAAGCTCAACCACACACTGGAAAGGTTCATCCTGGTGAGCATTCACCACAGATCAGTATGACTCCTTTGTATTTATCACTGAAAATCAAATTGAGTTAAAACTGTATGGCCCTGCCCACCAGACCCACAGCCTTCATCCAGACCATTAAATGACCACAAGTGTCTGTGGCTCCTGTATTTTTGTATGCTGAGTGTGGAAACCCAGGGCACAGGGAATATTTCTCTGTCTGCTCTGGGGTGCCCTGACACCCAGAGCAGCCCTGACTCTGACCCTCATCCATGGAGAAAGTTTCCCAGACTTCAAGATAGACCAGAATCCACAAAAGTGTGAAATAGGTTATAGAAAGTAGTGTAGGTGTATAACTTGGTGAGAAATTGAGGTTTGGAGGTTTTTAGTATGTTGTGGATGGAAGCAAGATGGAGGGCACAGGGTGCTGTCCTGGGTTTCTTCTTCTTCCTTCTTCTCCATGGGTTTGTGTGGCATTTTGTAATTGGGCAGAAAAGTCCCCATTGCAGCTCTTTGGGATCAGTTATTGAGTTAAAAGGGAAAATAATCCAGCTGTCAGTTCTTCATTGGATAGTTTAGTCCTAAAAGACCTTGTACCAAGAGATTGTTGGCCATTTTGTGCCTTCTAATGAAAAGCTGCCGAACTCACAGTAGTGAGACTGTTTTACTGATAAGAAATAATAAACACCTGAGTCCAAACATGAATTACTGTCTCAAGTGCCTTCAATCCAAACCCAGAAAAACCAACAACTGGGACCCCACAGCTGAGAGGTTTTGAAAGAATGGATTAGTGATCCATACCTGCAAGATGGGAGGACAGCAATAATGTGAGAAATGAATGGAAGGCACAGAGGGTATCTAAGCACAAAGCTGGAACACAGTGGCCTTTCCATCCTCATGAGTTTTTTGCTAGGTGGTACTTAATCACCCAAGCAAGGCACTTGGAAGACAAAACACAAGAAAAACTTGTGTTTAAAGACATAGGATTTTAAATGGATGTAGTGGAAAAGGCTGTTGGAATCACCGGACACACAGGGGAATTACTGCAGCTGATAGTTTAAATTTAGGCTTGTTCAAAGCACGTAAAGAAGGAATTAACCTATGAAATATTAAGGTCACATCCTTAATCTCTGTTATGGAGTGATTTTCTTTCATCTGGAGCAGGACATGGCACCTCTGAGTCAGATTCCAGCAAACGAGTTAACTTGGACAATGCTTTTGCTGTTGTGAGAGGAGCTCTCAGAGGAGGATTAGGATCTTCCAGAAGAGTAGCTCTCAGAAGAGAATGAGGGAGGAAAAAACCACAAATACAACTTTCTCTTGACATTAGTGCAGCCATAGATGGTTTTGGTACTTAATCATGAATTCTACTATTGGAAGCCTTCCACTTCTGTCTTTCAGTGCTAGTGAGAAAATAACTTCTACAAACTCACAAGTTTATTCCCCTGCTCTGTCTTCCGCACAGCTAAATATGAGTTGCATCAGACATTCAAAGCTTTCCAAAAGTGAAGTGCCTCAGGAAATAGTCTGGATTATCACTGCCACAGGGGAGAATGAGCAACTCCATTACAGCCCTATCTGAGTGAGAAATTACATATTGCTCAAATACTACCATGAAGCTGAGTGATTTGCTAAGTCTTACTTTTAAAACAGTTAAATAGAGTGTGGGTGGCTTTGTTTGTTTACTGGTATAATGAAAGATGATTTTCTAGACTTTTTTCAATTGCTTAACTTCTAGCTTAATACAAAAAAAATCCCCAAAAAACAACCTCAAAAAAATAAAAACAAGTAACAAAAACTAAACAAGCTTATTCTAAAGTTTAAGTATTTTTTCATATGAGTGTTACATATTTTAATTCTTCCAGCATGATTAAATAGCAAACTCTCTACTTAATCCAAGCAGAGAAGGAGCTGAGATAAATGAGAACAGTGGTTGTATTACTATTATTTCTTTTTAAGAGCAAATATTATTTAATACTTTTTAATAATAATTCAAATCAATGGGTATGTATTTTATGGCATGTTTATATAATGTAAATTTCAACACTAATAGTGAATTAAGAAGTGTGTGTATACAGCTGTAAAGTAAACAAAGGGAGATGTCAGAAGGATTCCATTCAATGCAGGAGAGACTACCCAGAAACCAAATTTTGAATAAGTGTTGAACAGAGTACACCAAACATATTTTTCCACAATTGCTGAATTGTGCAATTATGCAACTATGTGCAAAAAAAAAAAAAAAAGCCAAACCACCCTTATGAAGAAATGCCCTTGGCAGCAAATGCCCATTGAAAGGAAAACATAAATTTCTTTATGAAATGAAACAGCAGATCGTGCCAGACTCACAGCTCAGCGACATGCAAGAGCTCTCAAGGAGAAAAAGAAAGGCTTCTGCCATGGCTGGCTGAAAACATAAGGGGTAAATATTGCTCAGAACCTGCACATCAGAAGCAGAGAGCCAGGGAAAAAGCTTTGCTTGATTGCAGAGCAAATAAAAGAAACAGCTTTTTTTGGCACTGTAGAGTTTGGAAAGGAATGCTTAGAAACTGCAAGTGGTAGCGTCAGTGCTCAGCTGTAAAGGAAACCAAATACAATCACTTTTGACTGATGTTAATGTAAGATAAAAGCATTTTAATTTTTTTTTTTCCTCAGTAGAAAGAACTAAGCAAAGTCTCAAGTGCCTGCTTAAGCTGAGACAAGAGTTGTTTCAGAAACACTGGCAAAATCCTTGTTCTGAACATTTTCAAGCAGCACATTCATGCAAAGAAATGCTTAACTATAAGGCAAAATGTAGGCAGTCCTCCTAGAAGGAACTGCAATACCTGAAGGCTGCATTATCATAAATAGCTAAATTCTGGGAAAAGATCAAACTTGGATCCTGAGCTTTTTCTATTGGTAAAGTGGTAACTCCTCAGCTTTTTCTATTGGTAGTTTGCAAGAGCCTGTGTCAGCTGCACAGGCTATGGTGAGAGCTGACAATATTTCCACGTATTCCTCAGTTCGGCTGGAGAAACAGCCCCTGAGTCACTGCTCACTGACATCCTGCCCCGCTCCAGCACTTCCTCATTCACACAGGAGCTCCTTGCAGCAGCAGCACGTCTGGATCTCAGCACGTGCAGAGGGACACAGGGAGATCCCACAGAGGTAAGCAAGAGATCAAGTTTTCTATATTGGATGAGAAAGTGCTAAAATTTCAGTATTTGGGCTGTGGGCTTTGGCTAAAGTCTTTTGCACTTGCTTCAGATGACGTTTCCATGGGTGAAAATGAAAAAGAAACCATGTGGATTAGGCTTGGGGGGTTGTTTTTTTATTCTTTGTCATAAGCAACAGTTTTCCAGAGAGGAAAATCTCCAGACTGAGGGGGTTCCCATTTGTGTAACTGCTCTCCCCTGTGCTGGCTCCCAGCTGGGGTGTGTGTGCTCAGACTGCAGAATGGAAAGTGAGGCCACCACTAAAACAAAAGGCATTTCCAACTAGTTTTCTCACTGAGCACCACTTTGCCTTTATTTCTGCTCTTATCTTTTTGCTTTTCCTTAGCCACTAAAGTGGCACACTGACAGAAGTGACTGAACAGGGAGTTTAGTGAAATTCAGGGGACAAACACCAGGCTGAAAACAATCAAATCACACTTGCTGCCTCAAAATGTCACCCGAGCAAGAGCAAAGGCTCAGGACATTCAGCAGCCAGGCAGAAAGGGAGCTCTGGGTGGCTCCTCAGGTTCAGAATGGTCTCTGTTCACAATCTGGCAGAGGGTAACAGCAGCTAAAAGGAAGGCAAGAGGTCCCAGGGTGCAGGCTGCAGGTAGTGAAGAAGTCAAGTGTAAGAGTGACAAGACTAGAAAGAGGACAAACAACTGCACAGGAGGGATTTCCCAAACTGAGTCACTGAGGTTTCTATTACAAGCGGTGGTGGAGTTTGGAAAAAAAATAAAATAAACATAACCAAATTCTGTTGCACAAATAAGCTCTGGAGAAACCTGGTGCCTTGATTTTGACAGATTTATATTAGATTAATTAAAAAACAAACCACAAAACCTACACAGCAATAGATGTACAAGCCAATCCCTATAACAAGGCATTTAAAACAGCTTTCCTATCTTAAAATCTAATTTTATTCTTGGTAGCACCTTGCTGCCTTTAGAGGGGACTGTCTGTACCCACCAAATTAATGCAGGGACAGAGGAAGGTAGGAGAAAGACACCTGGGAGAAGTACAGAGCAACAAATACCACAAAGATTAATTTCTCACACCTCCTCCATGTGAACCTGGAACTCAGACCCTCCTCAAGAGCCAGCTCATGCTAGGTAATCTTGCCTTTTTGAAAGCTAAATAGAAATGTTTCACCAGCTGACTAAAAGTGAATCCTGAGGAAGAAGTGAAATGACAGAGCCGTAGCTTTCAGTTCTCATTAAATCAAAACTTGCCATTTTTTGGAGTTTATCTTGGTAACACAAGTGTAAATAACGCAAAGGTGGAAATCAGCACAGATTTTTTCATTCCAGAGAAATCATTTATCCATTTCTGGAAAGGGAAAGGAGATGACAGGAAATTTTTACCTCCTAGTGCTCTTCTCATAATACAGACCAGGTTATTGGAATATTTGGAAAGATGAGTGTGACAAATAATTCTGTTAGGCTTTCCCCAGTTGGGAAAGCCCTAAAAAAAGATTGCATGGGTATATACTACGCTCAGGAGACTGATCTTTTGGGAGAAAAGTCACCAGTTCTGCACATTTTATCTCCAGAAAAGCCACTCAGTGTTTGGTGGGAGGTGAGGGAAGGGTGGGAGAAGAACATCTCACTCTGCAAAATAAAAACCATATATATTCTTTAAGGAAAAAAGAAAAAAAAAAAAAGCCAATAGACAGGTGGAGTCAGCTCTTTAGGGGGCTTCTTGGATTTCCCCACCTTATCACTTATCTACAGTTTTCTGCTAACATAAAACAGAAACCTGGTGGAGCAGATCCAGAAGAAGTCCACAGAACCATTCAGTGCTGGAACACATCCCCTCTGAACACAGACAGAATTGAGGTTGTTCAGCCTGGAGAGGGCTCTGTGGAGATCTCAGAGGGGCCTTCCAGGGGCTGCTAAAAAAGAGACTTTTTACCAAGGCCTGTAGTGACAGGACAAAGGACAACGATTTTAAACTGGAAAAGGGTAGATGGAGGTTGCATACAAGGAAAAAATTCTTTACTGTCAGAGTGGTGGGGCACTAAAATGGGTTTCCCAGAGAAGCTGTGGATAACCCATCCTTGGAAGCATCCAGGTCAGATTGGATGTGTCTCTGGTGTAGTTGAAGATGTCCTTGCCCATGGCAGGGGAGGTTGGAACAAGATGATCTTTCAGTGTCACTTCCAAATCATTCTATGATGAGTATTTAGACTCCTTTGAAAGAGTTTAGCTGGTTTTTCTTTCACATCCTTCTCACTTTCCTTTTCTGATCTGTGTTACAGCCCTCCCTCCCTGTCAGGACAAAGCACCTGCCTCCTATGGAAGCTGAGCATCCCTGAACAGCCACCAAAGGTCCAGTCCAGGAGCTGGGACATGCCCATGACTGAGCTTTGGTTCAACAACAGGTGAGAGAAATAAGGGGAGGAGAGGAAAATGCATAAAACTGCCCTCTGAGCAATGAGATATTTTTCTGCTACCTTAAGTTAAATACACACACACTTGAACATACTTCAGTGAGCGTGTCTCACTGAGAACTGATAATTTTCAGGGGCATTTGGGGATGTGTATACATTGTGAGTGTACCTGCTGTCATATTTTTCAAAGCAGCCTGAGCCTCAGAGCCTTCCATTCATTGATTTCGGGTCACATCTGCTCACATGTTTTCAAAACAGCACCTCAATACCTTGAGGCAAATCTTCACCTCAGAGCAAGGTGTGGTGCAGAGGTGTCTGTGCTGACAGGAGCTGGAGAAGTGCTGGAGCACTGCATGGGCATGAACTCCACATGCTGAAGGCCAATTGTTCATTGCATCACTCCAATACTCAAAGTTTCACTCCAAATTCAGTTCTGTTCTATACAAAAAGAACACTGGTGAGTGGTGTAGTCCAGATTTTGCTTGTTGTAGTTGAAGAATGCAACTTTATTAGAGAATGGGGAGGATGGAGAGAAAAGGCAAATTATTGATCTAGATAACTATTATGGGTCATAATCTATAGGGTTCTAATTTTTAAAATTATTTCCACAAGTTAGTTTTGCACGTATTTTCCTCTCACACCACTTCATGCATGTGTTGAAATGCCATTTTCCACATTATTTTATTCCACTTACATTTTCCTTGCAAGGCTGCTGAAAAGAGCACTCTAAATGAGACTAAGGAGACTGCTTGGTTGATTTTTTTTTTTTGGCCTCCCATCAGTTTATGAATAGAGTTAATTAATTGTACAGTCCAAACACATTTCTCAGCTAAGTGCATTTAAATGTAATCTCCAACTCTGGCTTCTCTTCTAACATTTGAGCACCCCATGTTCTACATTGGCATGTGCTTAAGTTCTGTAAAAGCAAAATTGCTTTCAGATCCTTCATCAATAGTCTTGCCAGGCCAATGATTGCTGTCACCACAGAGAGAAATCAGAGCTAGAGCCAAGCAGATCCTTCCCATTGTATCTCCAAAGAGGACTGATTTATTTTGACATCAGGAAAGGGAAGAGCACACAGAACTCCATACACTAGACAAGACCAGCTTAAACTTGGTTGTTCTTCTCATCCAAATGCAATGTATTATCCAGAGGATGACATTTTCTTTAATTAGTAATAGCAACAATGAAGGGAAAAAAGGAGATGCCCAGAAGCATTTGAGAAACCCAGAAGGTGAGAAGAAATGGAGACAGGAGTGTCACCACTTTTCCAGCTCTATCACAGATCCAGCAAGGGCCATTCCATGGTTAATTCACTCCCATACACTCCTCACTCAGTCACCCACAGTGATGCTTCTGAATTCTCAGGCTGAAGCCAAGTTTTAGGTAGCATTACACTTACACTTCAGAGATTTTTGAAAGCAAAGCATGACCCTGTATGAATATAAAGGCCCATAGTGATAGGATCCATAGAATATAATCTATCAGAGCTTCAACTGTCTCCTATAACAAAATCAATATTCTTTTACAGAATTATTTGTTTAAGATGAGAAAGGATTTTTTTCTCAACAAGAAATTCTGCGACAACATGTGAGGATGGGAGTGAAAACTCCCTGGGGTCCCCATGCTGTGTTGCATCTCTTGTACTTTTTAAATCCTCTGCTGGGAAAGGGAGCAGAGGCATGGAATTAAAAGCTTTAGGGCTAAAAGGTTTTCCTGGAAAGGTCCCCTCTACAGGACAGCTATGCCAAGCCAGAGAGTCAGGGGTCAGAATTTATTTCATTTCATCCCTAGGAGCCATGTAAGTCCCTGTGCTGTAACACATTTTACTACCTCCTCCCCCATTTCTTCACTCACCACAGAGAAATGAAGCAGAAAAGAGTGTGTTGATTTGTACTAGAGTGTTGTCATCCATCCAGTAAGTGTACCCTGGGGAAGCCTAATTCCATAAACATTGCTTGGGCCCACACTTGGGATCTATTAAAGCCAAGGAAAGCAGCAGTGCCTTGCTGAGAACAAACTCCTTTTATTATACCAGGATAGAGCTGCATGAGTGCCAGGATGAAACTTCAGAGTCTCAAACCAAAAAGCAAAACACCTAATTAAAGAGCTAGCAGGGTTGTATGGTAGGCCTACCTAGGGGATCTTTGAATTTCCTCATGGGAAATTTCTGTCCTCAAAGATTATCCTCCACACAGTTCATTTCACCTTTTGAGAACCTCCCTGTGGCTACAATTTTTATGGTGGTCACAGAAAGAGACCATTTTATTACAGGTGTTTTCCAAATACTGCTTTCACTGAAGCTGAACAACTCAATTCAGATGCAGCGTGACCTGCAGGAGCTGATCCCAGTCAGTGCAGATTTGCTGGCTTGACATGGTTGGCAAAGTGTCCCTGCCTCAGCCCAGCCACAGATGTGCCCCACGCCTCAGAAGGGAGAGAAAGATCTAACTTAGGACGGCCTTGCTTAAAATTCAGTTTTATTAGCTTGGCTCCTATTTTCTCCTACTCTTCTGTGTTGAGAGATGCATGAACAAGTTCGCACTCAGAAATTGCCCTCATGTCAAAGGTTATCTCCAAGGATAAATGGAAATTTAGCTCCAGTGTGCCTTGCATTTGCAGGCCATAAAATGCAGGGATTTGGGGATGAAGCAGCTGTAAGAGACAGAGCTCAGGGAGGTAACACAAAAATCATGTCAAGGCCACCACTGACTCCCTGCCAGCAAGGTGTGGATCAGAGACACCCCATGTGTAGCCCTGGTTAGGCCAGGGCAGAGATTTCATCTTGGATCAGACACCCCATGTCCTGCTCTGGTAAGGCCAGGGCAGAGATTTCATCTTGGGTGGCTCCTGAACAGGGCTGCAAGGCCCAGACATTTTGCTGTCCCTGAAAAACTGCACAGAAATAGGATTAGCTTCAATTTCTGAAATCTGTGTTATGTTTAAGAGCTGCTCTGAGGTGTTCACTGTCCTTCAGCTGCCAATTCAATCTCTCAAACCATGGTTTACATCGTGAGTGATTATAAAAAGGCCAACATGTAACACTCTTAGTCCTCTAAATAAACAGTCCTAGAAGCAGCGAGGTCAGCTTTGATTTCCTCACAGTCTGGGGCATTGAAAGAGACAAACTTAACAAGGCTCTTTAAATCCCATCTGGTAGCAGGACAGGAATGTAAGGGCTCTGAACCACAAATATGGGATCAGCATGTTAACATCTAGAGAAGATTTCTGTGAGTGCTCTGAGGAAGTGCTTCAAAACTAGGTCATGTAAACTTCACATACCTGGAGTGCTTCCAACAAATCATTTCTCCCTTGGATTGAACTCAGAAGCTAGGACTTTATTTGACAGCTGTCAGTTAAAGCACAGGACAAATCACACCAAATAAAAACTAGTTAACTCAAATATGTCAGCAAGGGGAGGAAAAAAACCCAAACTTGTTCCATTATATATTCTCACAAATGGACATTTGTGTCTGCAGAAAGGGCAGCTGTAATGTTTAATATTTAATGCCATTCCATAGTGCTCTAAAGATCCAAACACAATTCTTTGTTTGCCTGCATTATAATGAGGCCTCCAGATGTTTGGCAGCAGCCTGTAAAATATGCAAAATGCCATAGCTATTCAATTAGCACTTGGTACTTTCCCATCTGAGGACATCACATCCCTTTTCCTTCGAGAGTTAGAGATGCAGTAGGTTGCACAGAAGTCCCACACAACACTCCTCCCCACTGCCCCAGCTGAAGTTACAAGATGCAGTTTGGGTAAGAAGTAGGTCATTGTCACGTTCCTATCAAGGATCAATCAAGTTCCCATTGAATGCATCAGCTCCTTTTAGCAATAAGCAAAGACAATTTGGAGAAGGAGTCCTGCCTTTCCAAATCAAAGTTTCTGTGCGGTTTTCACCTCAAGTTTAGTCATTTCTAAAGGCCCAAGTCTGGCCATCTCTTACCACAACTACTCAGAACTCAAGCTTTGGGCTGATCGAAAAAATGGGGTTTCATGAAAAGCTGATAGCAAGAGAGGATGTCAATTTAGACAGTCCAGCTGTGGAAAATATCAGGGAAAACATCTCTTCCCACCCATAAGAAGACCCACTCAATTGCTACATCTGTCTATAATAATAGTTGCTACATCTGCCTAGCACATTGCAATGACAAAAATCCTCCAGGCTACAGCGTTGTTAGGCATCTCCCAGAAGTGCCTACTTCCCCAGAATCTGATGGCAAAGCAGAAAAATCAATTGTTTACTTTGGTAGCAACAGCTGTGCATTGAATAATATTGTGTTTTATGAGAGTTTGACTCTCACACACTTTCAGTGTATTGGAAACATGCTGAAAAGTAATTTAAGACATGCAAAAAAGGACATCCCTTCCATCCAAACAAAATATCCACAGCATACTACGAGATGCCAAAAGAGCCCAGCCAGGCACGGTCCTGCCTCTATTCTGAATGTGGATAAATAATAAAGTATTTGGCCTATGATTTTAAACATTTTGTGCAAGAACAGAATAAAGGAAGGTAGTCCTTTCTAAGGAAAGTGCAACAAGCATTCTTAACTAGAGAAACCCAGATATAAGCAATGATCTCTCATATATCTCATTCTGTGTACAAAAAAAGTGTAGAATGTGAAGTGAATGTGAAGGAACACAGTTCCTTCAGCTAATACTTTACACATCTTGCTTTCCCAGAGAACAGGGCTATCCACTGGTGTTTACAGTTCTCAATGAGAATGACAGGAGACAAAGCTGAGATCCTGGCTCTGATTTAGGTCCATTTGCACCTTAGGAGATCACTAAAGCAGAGAATATCCGAGGAGCTTGAAAGTAACCAGTTTCAAAGTTATCACAGCTTGGATGCTCAATGTTTTTGTCATGACTCTGGGAAATGTGAGCAGAGAAACATTTGAGAAGGCTGGCCCTAACACTACACAGCCATAACCTCCTACTCAGTTATGGATGGCACTGGTTCTCTGGTATTCCAGGAGAAGAT